GGCCGTAGTTTGAGGACCCCTGCTCAAAGGGGTCGCGACCCACAGGTTGAGAACCGCTGGGATAGAGGGAGAGAAAGAAGAGGAAGAAGGAAGTAAACTTGTTGATGAGAGGATATTTACATAGTTTCAAAATAACTCCCAGCAAAATTCTCATTAATTACCAGGGGAAGGATAACTTTGGGATGAAGCTATCCAGCAGACACCATCTTAAACAAGCGACTGAAATCAACTGTAATAGTATAAATCAAAACCATACACTACCTGAAAAGAGTTTTTTATATACCAAATTGAGAAACATTATACAAAATAATAACTTGGCCTATAATGTTCGAAAATGTCAGTTGTGATAGTCAAGAAAAGACTTAGGAACTGATTAAAGAAACAAACAAACAAAAAAGTAACAAGACTTTCCAAAGGTTCTGTTTCATATCAAGGACAATATTGGGCAACTGGAAAAACCTGAATAGAGTCAGAGGATTAAATGGTAGAATATATCAATGCTAACTTCCTGATCTTGATGGCTGTATTGTGATTACAAAGGAGAAATGTACTTGATTGTAGGCAAAATATACTGAAGTACTCAGGAGTGACAGAGCATCCTGTTGGTAACTTAAACTCAACTGGTTTCAGGTGGGAAAGTTACCTCTTCTATTGGGGAGGAGGAAGATGGCCACAGTTCCTGAATCAGACATTCCCAATTCCATGAACTCCTTAAATGCATTTATGTTCATTATCTTGGACAAACTATTATGGTTTACTAGTGACCCGGTGCATAGATTCGTTCACATTGAAAGAAAATTAATTAGAAGGTGGCCAGTGGGGCAGAACTGGGTGAGACGGGTTGGACATGCCCTGGAGCCAACCTCCCGAGGCTTCTCTCTGGCCGGCCACTCGAAGGGCCTCTGCAGAGTGAGCGGGAACCCTCTGGCAGGTGGGGTCCCTCAGCCTGGCCTACAGGAATCCAGCCGAAACCAGCTCTCCGACATCCCCCAAGGGGTCCTGGAGTGTGAGAGGGCACTCTGCAAAGTTGCTGTCGTACAGGGTGTGGAACGCAAATGGAAGTGTGCAATAAACCAGATTCAGGGCTGACAGTGCCCCAGCAACACATAACCCACAGCCGAAGGTGGATCACGCGGTCCCGTGAGAAACCGGGCTCCTACCTCTCTGGTTCTGGCGTGCGTCACCTGATAACCGCCACTGCCAAGAACTGCAGCTCAGCAGTTCCTGTGTTGAGCATCTGCCCCCTGGTGGTCAGTGCGCATCATAGTGACCAGTCGGATGGTTGGACACTTAGCATATTAGCCTTTTATATATGTACTAGAGCAGCGGTTCTCAACCTGTGGGTCGCAACTTAGGGGTCAAACGACCCTTTCACGGGGGTCGCCTAAGACCATCGGAAAACACATATATAATTACATATTGTTTTTGTGATTGATCACTATGCTTTAATTATGTTCAATTTGTAACAATGAAAACACATCCTGCATATCAGATATTTACATGACAATTCATAACAGTAGCAAAATTACAGTTATGAAGTAGCAACGAAAATAATTTTATGGTTGGGGGTCACCACATGAGGAACTGTATTAAAAGGTCACGGCATTAGGAAGGTTGAGAAGCACTGTACTAGACGCTCAGTGCACGAATTCGTGCACGGGTGGGGGGGGGGGGGTCCTCGGCCTGGCAGGCAATCGGGGCCATTTGGGGTGGCTGGCCAGCCAGGAAGAGGGACTGTGGAAGGTTGGCCACCAGCTGGGGGGAGGTACTGCAGGAGGTTGGCAGGCCAGCGGGGGGAGGGACCTTGGGAGGTTGGCCGGCCGCAGGAGACTGGCTGTGGGAGCCCACTGACCACCAGGGGGCAGCTCCTGCATTGAGCACCTGCCCCTTGGTGATCAGTGCACATCATAGCAACTGGTCAACTAGTCGTAATGGTCACTTAGGCTTTTATATAGAGAGATATACTAGAGGCCCGCTGCATGAGATTTGTGCACTTGGGCGGGGGGGCCAGGTCCTCAACCTGGCCTGCACCCTCTCATAGTCCAGGAGCCCTCAGGGAATGTCTGACTGACAGCTTAGGCCCGGGGAGCGGGCCTAAGCCATCAGTCGGACATCCTTAGCATTACTGCAGAGGTGGGAGAGGCTCCCGCCACTGCCACTGCACTTGCAAGCCGTGAGCCCAGCTTCTGGGCTTCTGGCTGAGTGGTGCTCCCCCTGTGGGAGCACATTGACCACCAAGGGGCAGCACCTGCATTGAGCATCTGCCCCCTGGTGGTCAGTGTGCATCATAGCGACTGGTCATTCTGCCATTCGGTCAATTTGCATATTACCCTTTTATTATATAGGAGGATAGAAACCACAAAATTCAGAGAATGGCATCTGTTGACTGTAATGTTGACTAGAGGGACAAGTTAGTCACAAAATTAGAGAGAAGCGTGAGTATGTGAGAGAGACGGTGTAAGAAGAGAACCTTACCATCTATAACATGCCTTACTGAGGCTGACTTTAATACTCTCAAGATGTTTACAGTTCAGTGAGTGTTACCTAGAATCAGCCTGATTGTGGAATCCTTCATTCATAGCCCTGTATTTCGGTCTGGAGCATCCACAGGGCTGATTTGCAGAGGTGGTAAAGGGTGAGAGTACTAGTTACATTTCCTGACCCATTTCCCACCAGGTTTGAAGCAAACAGTGCTCATTCCAACATGGTGAAGCCTTTGTGCTTAAGATAACAAACAGTTATAACAGGCCACCCTAATGCTTTGCATAAGCAGCAAAATCAAAAGACAACTGTCTTCAAACAACTTAATTTCGGAAATGCAGATTAACAGGGAGGATGGAAAACATCTTTTCATCTCAATACCTTCTTTTCCATTTTAGATGGTATAGACCAGCTGTGGGCAAACTACGGCCCGCGGGCCGGATCCGGCCCGTTTGAAATGAATAAAACTAAAAAAATAAAAGACAGTACCCTTTTATGTAATGATGTTTAATTTGAATTTATATTAGCTCACACAAACACTCCATCCATGCTTTTGTTCCGGCCCTCCAGTCCAGTTTAAGAACCCATTGTGGCCCTCGAGTCAAAAAGTTTGCCCACCCCTGGTATAGACCTTTAAGGTCATAATCACTATTCATACAAATGCTAAAGATCTGCAATCGCTTTTCTAAGGACAACATTGGTTCTGTGTGTAGAAACCCACACCTATGGGACAATGAGTTGAGTGGAAGATTACTTTGTCTCCCTCTTAACATGTATCTAAAAAGTTATTGTTCCTTAACCAACACACAAATGGCCTGGAATCACTAAATAAATTCATACCAAGATATTAGAGAGTCAAAGATTCATTAGTGCTTTATGGCTTGAATGTGTGCATCTCCTGCCAACTTATCTTATGCTGTACAGAATATGACCTCATTTTCCTTAATCTGTGGTAAATAAATGTCTCAACTGTTTAGAACCTCAGAATTCCAGATAGTGATAATTTTCTATTAGAGCAAATTAAAGTCCAAAGGAGTAGTTAAATAACAAAGAGGCAGCTGACTAGACACATCCACTTTCCTTCCTCATGGACTCTTCAGAGTCCTGTCTACACAGAGTATTGAGTCTGGATGATACTGTTCTCAGTTTTTGCCACACAACATGCTTGCCTTGTAGGAGTTTAACTATATGCTCTTGGTCTTTATGAATCCTCACTACAAGAGCACTTCAACAGAATAATTTCTATGTCTTTTGTGAAAGCATAACCCACTATGTCACATAATAGCAGAACCTACAGAAAGTCTTTTTCATTAAGTACAATGCCAGGAAACAGTCTCTTTGTATAAACAAATGGGCAGGCTTTCTTTCCACAGACAATGAATACTATGTAATTCAATGCTATACAGACAAAGGAGCAGTTCCTTGTTAGTCTTAGCAGCCAGAAAAGTTAAAGCCAAATGCAGTAAACAATAATTACATTGGCTCCCCTCAGGAGCCTGATACCTTCTACTTTCTAAGTTCTTCTTGGACGAGTACCAGGCCTTTATACCTTTATACTTAACTAGAGACCTGGTACACGAAAATCGTGCGCGGGGGAGGGGGGGGGTCCGCACCCTCTCCAATCCAGGACCCCTCGGGGATGTCTGACTGCCTCTCATAATCCAGGACCACTGGCTCCTAACCACTCACCTGCCTGATTGCCCCTAACCACCTCTGCCTGCTTGCCTGATCGCCCCTAACTGCTCCCCTGCTGGCCTGATTGACCCGAACCGCCTCTGCCTCGCCCCACACCTGGGACCCAGGATTCCCTCTTCCGGCCAGTCACAGGCACCCAGGACATGGGCTTCCCTCCCTCTGACCAGCTGCAGGTACTCAGGTCCCAGGCCAGCTTCACCCGGGCCATAGCCACAGGAGCCAGGGACCACAGGGTGGACGGCTTGTCCCTCTCCTGGGCCGCAAGCGCAGGCACAGCCGTTGGCACCCGGGACTGTGGGGAAGGTGGCTTGTCCCTCTCCTGGGCCGCAGGTGCAGACACAGCTGCTGGCACCTGAGACCATGGGGCGGGTGGCTTATCCCTCTCCCGGGCGGCAGCCTGGCTGGTCTCCATTCCTCTCTCGTGAGCTCATTTGTGCCTGACTGGTCCCCATTCCTCTCTCCCCAGTGTTGAATGTCTGAGCCATTTCGGTGTGATGGCATGAGGGCGTGATGACCATTTGTACATTAGCTCTTTATTATATCGGATTGTCCAGCTTTAATTCTATGATCACATTCCAATCCTCTTGAACGTACCCAGATTATGCATGTACATATTATGTATGTTTTCTATCTCTTACAATTTTCCTTCTGCTATTGCTTACAGTTTCTGGGATCATTCTATATTTAATGATCTAAGAATTTAAAACAATAATGACACTAAGAGGCTAATTTAATAAAGACCAAACAATCTGCATCATTAACCCCTCTTGTCTATTCCACAAAACAAATTATGTGATGGCTCAGTGGGAAGGCAAGCACGGCACCTTTGCAGTAGTCTGCGGGGTCCTCCTGCTCCTCATCGTCTGAACCCAGGATCTCCTCCTCTGGCTCTGGGGGCGTGGGGTCTGGCAAAGGTGGCGGTGGTGGTGGAGGTGGTGGTGGAGGAACTAAGGGAGCTTTCTGTTGAGGCTCCGGCCTGAAACAGCAGAAGGAAAATTCGTACTTATTTAGAAGTAAATCTTGCATTGTGGATATTCTTGAAAGTTTCTTAATATGGAAAAAAATAGAACTTGTCATACACTAAAAAGAAATGATGAGTAATGTCACTGCATCCATTTTAACTGAATTCAAGTGATGTTTCAACATACAGGCCAGGAGGGAAGACTATCCTTAATAGCCAAGGCATATTCTTGCAGGCACATTTTCACCCAGAGCTTTAATATTTTTTAATTCATGACAATATTATAAAATACAAGTGAAATAAAAGAGTGCTTCCCCATGATATACAAACACATCCCACAGAGATTATAAAAAGACATGTGAAAGTAGTCCTGCACTTATAAAGGGGCTTATTTTCCATTATTTTAAAATCAGAGTTTCTTTTCCCACAGAAATAGTAGGAGTATGATTAGATATCCTGGATAGCTCACAAAAGGTGACTGAAATAACCTGGCCTATTTGGCTCAGTGGTTGAGAATCAACCTATGAACCAGGTGGTCACGGTTCCATTCCAGTCAGGGCACATGCCAGGTTGTGGGCTAGATCCCAAGTAGGGGGCGTGCAGAAGGCAGCCAATCAATGATTCTCTCACATCATTGATGTTTCTATCTCCCTCCCTCTCTAGAATCTCCCTCCCTCCTCCCCTCCCCACTCTCTGAAAAGCAATGGAAAAAATATCCTCATGAGAGGATTAACAAAGTAATAGTATTCTTTACCCATTTAGTGAGTTGCCCATGTCGCTTAACAAAATTCCCAGACCATCTTGTCTCAGCGAGCAGGCACTTATCCCACCTGTGAGGGCTACAATGAACAGGAAAAAGCTCCCCCCAAAGCCACATGTATCAAGTCAAAGGGATGAGTCAGGGTACCTTGAAGTGCACAGGAAGTTGAGTAATGTTGATGCAATATTTCAACTGGTTATCAAAACATCTAGAACTGTGCTGTCCAACACAGGAGCCACTGGCCACATGTGGGTACTGAGCAACTGAAATGTGGCTAGTCCCAATTGAGATATGCTCTAAGTGTAAAATGTGTACTGAATTTCTAAGAAAAAATGCAAAATTTTATTAATAATTTTATATGTATTATGTTAAAAATAATGTTCTAAATATAATAGAATATCTTATTAAATTTTAATTCACCTGATTCTTTTTACTTTTGTTAATGTGGCTACTAGAATACTCTGGAGGCTCACACTATACTTCTGGATAGCACTACTCTAGCCTCTTCAGATCCACCGATACAAAAGGAAAAGCTTGGCCTCAGAAATCAGAGACACCTGGTCACACCAGTGATGATTATTTTTTCCAAGGCTTCTCCTACTAATCTTCTTCACATCCGTTATCGTCAACTCTCAAATCACTCAATTCATCCTAGTAAGATTCAATACAATGTAACTGTCAAGTGTTATAATCCCAATCACCAATTTTTGTTCATCCTATCCATCCTTGTTACTGCCTACCACACAGGAGAAACACAAGTAAATTTGTATTAGGGAATATGTATGCAAGAGCGAACAGTGCCACACCAACTTTAAGGCTGGCTTCTTCAAAGTGGTTTCTGGGAGCTTCTATAGTACTTCAAAGCCTGATTAAATCTCAACCGTTTAAAAATCAAGAGGTGACAGGTTATCTCACCAAGTACGTACTCATAAAATATATTTAATCAATCTTTTTAAGAAGTTATCTTATGTAAGAATTACTAAAAGCATTTAAGACATCATAGGAGGAGAACCCACAAATATTTTTTTACAAGGGTGCCAACACAATTAAATGGCGAAAGACTAGTCTTTTCAACTGTACTGGGAAAAATGCGTATCAGTACGCAAAAAACTAAAATTGTAACCCTACCTCACACACACACACACACGCATATATTTTAAACCACTGAATTGTGGTTTTTTAAAAATATATGTATTGACCTGAAAAAGAAGGGGGGGAAGGGAGGAAAGGAGGGAGGGAAGGAGGGGGGGGAGAGAGAGAGAGAGAGAGAGAGAGGAAGGGAGGGGGGTGGGGGTGGGGGAGAGAGAAACAAACATCGCCCTCTTGCTCCACCCATCCACGCATTCACTGGCTTACACCTGCAACCTTGGCTCATCAGGTCGATGCTCCAACCAACTGAGCACACATACATATTGATTCAAAAATTAGTTCAAGACCTAAATAAAGGAATAGAAACTATAAACCTTGCAGGAAAAAAAACACATAAGTAAACTTTCATCACTTTATAAGTTAGACCAGTGGTCGGCAAACTGTGGCTCGCAAGCCACATGCGGCTCTTTGGCCCCTTGAGTGTGGTTCTTCCACAAAATACCACGTGCTGGCGCGCACGTACAGTGCGATTGAAACTTCGTGGCCCATGCGCAGAAGTCGGTATTTTGTGGAAGAGCCACACTCAAGGGGCCAAAGAGCCGCGTGTGGCTCGCGAGCCGCAGTTTGCTGACCACTGGGTTAGACAATGTTTGTTAGGTATGACACCAAAAGCATGAGCAATTTAAAAGGATATGATCTAGTCCAGCCAGCTTGGCTCAGTGGTTAAAGGGTGATCCATGAACCTAGAGGTCAGGGTTCGATTCCTGTTCAGAAAACATGCCTGGGTTGCGGGCTTGATCCCCAGTAGGGGGCATGCACGCAGCAGAGGATCAATGATTCTCTCTCATCATTGATGTTTTTATTTCTCCCTCCCTCTGCCTTCCTCTCTGACATCAATAAAGATATATTAAAATATATAAAAATTAAAAATAAAGAGACAAAACTAGAGTTGATCAAAATTATGAACTTCTGTGCTCCAAAGGGCATCATCAAGAAAGAAAGACAATCTGGACTGTGTGGCTCATCGGGTGAGTGTCAACCTATGAACTAGTGGGTCACGGTTCAATTCCCAGTCAGGGCACATGCCCCGTTTTCAGGCTTGATCCCCAGTGGGGGGCAGCCAATCAATGATTCTCTCTCATCACTGATGTTACTATTTCTCTCTCCATCTCCCTTCCTCTCTGAAATCAATAAAAACATTTTTTTAAAAAAGAAAGTAAAGGCAGACCACAGAATGGAAGAAAATATCTGCAAATCATACAATAAGGAACTTGTATCTAGAATATAAAAAGAACTCTTACAATAAAAAAAAAAAAAAACAATTTAAAATTTTTGAAAGGACTAAAATAGACGTTTCCCCAAAGAAGATATACAAATGACCAATAAGCACATGAAAAGATGCTCAATATCATTAGTCATTAGGGAAATGGAAATCGGTGATGAGACACCACTGTCGAGAATGAAGAAATTGGAACCCTCATATGTCACAGTAGGTGTAATGTGACATTACTCTTTTGGACTATCTTGCAGCTCCTAAAAAGTATGAATTCGAAGTTACCATGTGACCCAATTCCATTTATAGCAGCAGTTCTCAACCTTGGCTGCACTTTAGAATCACCTGGGAATCTTTTTAAAATCCTGATTTCTGGGCCTCATCCTCTGGAAATTCTGTTTCTTTGTTACTAATGTTGTGGCCCCACCCCATAACATAGAAACGGAATTTCCAGAGGATGAGGCTCAGAAATCAGGATTTAAAAAAAAAGATTCCCAGGTGATTCTAATGTGCAGCCAAGGTTGAGAACCACTGATTTATAGGTGTATACCCAAAAGAAGAATAAACATACAGTGTGGGCAAAAGTAGGTTTATAGTTGTGAGTATGCGAAACACAGTTTATTACTGTATTGTTATTTATTATTGTATTATTTGTCTTATTATTTTGTATCCTTACTTATGATTCATCTTTTAGTAATGTCTTTTTTGGTACAAACAACTGTAAACCTACTTTTGCTACCCCTTATGTCCCTACAAAATGTTGTGCAAAAACATTCATAGCAACATTATTCGTAACAGACATAAAGCAGAAACAACCCAAATATGCAACAACTGATAAATAAAAGTAGTATATCCTTGCAATGCATTATTATTCAGCAATAAAAAGGAATGAAGTACTGATCCATGCTACAACATGGATCACCCTTGAAAACATGCTAAGTGAAAATGCCAGTCATAAAAGACCACATTATATGATTCCATTTTATATTGAAACTAGAGACCCGGGGCACGAAATTTGTGCGGGGGTGTCCCTCAGCCCAAGCCTTCACCTTCTCCAATCTGGGACCACTGCCCACCAGGATCGGGCCTAAACGGGCAGTCAGGCATCCCTCTCACAATCCAGGACTGCTGGCTCCCAACCGCTCGCCTGCCTGCCTGTCTGATTGCCCCTATCCACTTCTGTCTGCCAGCCTGATCACCCCCTAACCACTCCCCTGCCAGCCTGATCGACGCCTAACTGCTCCCCTGCCAGCCCAATCGCCCTCAACTGCCCTCCCCTGCTGGCCTGGCCACCCCAACTGCCCTGGTCCCCTCAACTGCTCTCTCTCCGTGAAGGCCCGGTTCCCCCCAAATGCCCTCCCCTGCCAGCCATTTTGTGGTGGCCATCTTATGTGAGGGGGTGAGGGTCAATTTGCATATTTCCTCTTTATTACATAGGACTAGAGACCTGATGCACAAAATTCGTGCAAGAAAGGCCTTCCTTCCCCCGGCTGCCAGCAGCGGCTCCCCTCTGGCACTCGAGACTCGGGCTTCCCTCACAGGCCTGGCTTCATCCTGAAGGACATCCAGTCTAATTAGTATATTATGCTTTTATTATTATAGATGTTCAGAACTGGCAAACTTATGGAGACAGAATAAATCAGTGCTGGCTTAGGGCTGGCGTTATGAGAAAAAAAGGAGAGAAATGGAGTGGCTATTAATAGGTACAGGGTTTCTTTAAGAGATAAAAATGTTCTAATGTGGTGAAGGTTACAAAACATCATGAACATACTAAAAAAAGCATTGTAACATGTAAGTTGTATGGTAAGTGGATGATACCTCAAAAGGCTGTTTTTAAAAAGCAAAAGCTTATACAACTATGTTATTTTAATGGCCATTTTATACCTTTATAAA